GGGAACGCCCTTGCGTGACCGCGTTCTGAAGCACGTGTCAAATCCGTCCAATGGAGCAGCGAGACGTCACGAGCAGGGTGACGTAAGCACCAGAAAGCATAAAAGCGCATCCGGCCGGGCGCAAACCAGCTTCGATGAAGTAGCGCCTGCAGGGATGCAGGGAGTATGGCAAAGAGACGCAGCGTCTCGTTCCCTCGGGGAACCATGGTTACATACGTAACCTAGAGACGTTTGTTCTTGAATCAGACACCGCTTCTGCGTCTCGGACTGTTTCTAGGCTGGCCAAACGATATTTTATTTTGGCGAATGCACGAAACACACCCCATAATCACGAATCACACCTCATACACGAGGGACTGTGGTGGCGAGTCCACAGTCTCCTCTGTCTCGACACTCATCACATCCACCTCCTCGGAGGAAGACAGATGAAGCGTCTGGCTCTCTCTCTCTGGCAGCGCGGACTTCCGAACCGTGAGAGAGAGCCGCGGATCTAGCGGGTGAGGACCGGATAATCTTAAATGAGTCATGTCCTCCGGATTTGAGTGCAATGATCGAAAAGCATTATATTGTGTTCAGAAACATGAGATTACTCATAATAAACATGATTGAACAATAAAAACAATTACATTCAAAATAAAATTAAAACAGTGTATTCCAACTACTCCCGTGCCAGTAACTTCATTTAGCTCATTACTGCAACAGCAGCAGCGCTAACGATCTCCTCGCTCAGATAATGTTGCACATGAAAGATGACACACATGGTATCATGTAAGTATAAATAAACTGTTTAATTTTTTTAACAGTTTATTTGGCCTCAGATTATTGTTGTTTCACATTCACAGCACGTTAAACATCACACTCTTACTTGATCTGGACAAGCTGTGTATCATTCGAAGGATTAAAGACTCCTGGGTTGTATTCCAGAAAGCAAGGTTAACTTACCGTCACACATAGCCTGAACTCTCGGTTGTTTAACCCAACCCTTGCTTATTTGAGGTATACTGGTCCCAAAAAGTCCGGGAGTAAGTTCCGTCAACTCAGAGTATGTTCACGGTTAACACACAAGACAATCTCAACAGAGCGACGAATCGAAGAGTCACCATGGAAACCCACGCTAAGAAAAAGCACGCCATACTGCTTTCTTCTTTTATTCAGTGGCCATTGACATACCTAGTGCATATCGCCACCTAATTGGTGGTTGTGCAATCATTTTTCAAACTTTTCGATTCATCTTTAATCACATGAGAATAAGAATTATATTGTTTGTTTGATGCGGATGCTGAGTTTATCCGCTTACTTACTCTTAAACATACCAGGGTATGTCACATAACCTGCTTTCTGGAATACCGCCCGCTTCAATATTTGACCACTGTTTTGATCAAACTCAGTCATTTCTTATTTTAACTCAGGAGTGCAAAATAATAAATCGGCATATATATATATATATACAGAGGCGGACAAAGTACTCAACTCCATTACTTGAGTGAAAGTACAGATACTGCTGGTCAAACATTACTCCATTACAAGTAAAAGTTGTAAAGACAGATTTTTACTTAAGTAAAAGTACAGAAGTACTTGCTTTTAAAAGTACTTAAGTACCAAAAGTAAATTTCCCTTTTTATGTCAATGCACTGTTTTATTGTTGTACGTAATACTTGCAATACTTCTGAAGCAACTTACAATACATTACACCTACTGAATACACTGACTAGCTTGCAGTCTCTTTGGAATTAAGAGCTTTTAGAATGTTAAAAACCTATGGGGAAAAAAAACAAAACA